GATGGTGGCGCGGACGGCTCGCCCGCCGCCCTCAGTTAGCGGGCGAGGAACGGCAGAACGTAAACTTTGGGGCATGGGCTTTCCAGCCGCCCTGGGGCGGACGCCCCCCACGGCGGACAACAGTCTGCTGAGCCGCTGCTCGCCGCCTACCTCCGCCCGCCAGCCCTCCATCCCATCTCCCCCCCCCTCCTCCCGCGCGACGCCCGGAGCATCCGCGCCGGGCGCGACAGGCGGCGCCTGCCCGCGCCGACGGGGCGCCGCGCCGACGCCACGAAGGCCGCGCGCGCCCTGCGCGGGAAGGCACTCGGACCCGATGCCCCGGCCCGCCTCTCTCACGCGGGCGCGCTGCGCGCAGGAAGGTGGTGGCGCCCGCAGCCGCTCTGGGGCGACGCCTTCCACGTGCAACAGGGCTCGGCGAGCCACGCTGGTGAGAGAGCTTTGGGGCCACCATGCCCCCCGTGGCCCGCGACGTCGACGCGAGGCTCGAGCCACGTGCACCAGTTCTACACGAGACACCCCGCGCGAGACGGGCAATGACCCTGACCTTGACCTCAGCTGGACCTCCAGTCAGCTGTTTGCAGCTACCGTCCTCCTGCGATATGCGGGCAGGATCTGGCGGCGCCAGGGTGCCCTTGGTGACCCAACCCTCCCCGACCATCGCCAGGGGGGGAGGATGAACACAACTCTCAGGTTGGCATTCACACTGAGGGAGGAGAAGAAAAGATCGGAACGACAGCGCGGCGGAACGACGGGGGTATTGCGATGCAAGACGGGAACACAGAGGAGAGTGAGAGATAGAGAGATAGAGAGAAGGAAAGATACTGATACATTCTTCTTCCTATATTGTCATAAGCCCGGGCGGGGGGAAAACCCCTCCCACCCCCCAAAAAAAACTGACTCCTGGGATCTGGGGCTTTGGGACCCTCCGGACGGGGCTCGAAGCGACCCCATGGGCCTCGCAGGGCGTTTTGCCAAGCCTTCCCAGCACACCTAGGGCGATCAGGGGGGTCATCGGAGACGTCCCAGAGACCCCCAAGGCAGCACAAGAGCGCTCCAAGAGTGACCGACGTGACCTCAAGATGACCCAAGAGGCCTCCAGGACGGCCCCAAAGAGGCCTCCAAGAGCACTCCCAAGAAGGCCCCAAGAGGCGACAATCATTGATTTTCTGTTGTTTTTTTGGTGAATCTTGGGGTTATCCTCTTTTCGGCTTCCCGACGCTCCAAGACGGCGGTCTTCTGGGCGTCCGAAGCCGCCTGGGAGGCTCCCAAATCGCCTCACAACCATCCAGGCAGTCCAAGAGAGCCCCAAAACGGCACAACACGGGTCCAAAATGGCCCTCAGAGAGCCCCATGGCGGCCCAAGATGGCCCCAAGACACCCTCCGAAGCATTCCAAATCGTAACCCGGTCGTTCAGGGAGACCGAGGTTGGAGGCAGGGTGGCCCGAGGAAGCCCCCAGAGGCCCCCAGAATACGCCCAGGAGGCCTCCAGAAAGCCTTCAGGAAGCCTGAAACAACTTTTGTGAGGCCCCCAGAGGCTCTCCAAGGAGGAGCCTCCGCAAAAAAGAGCTGAGGAGGATGGGGAGAATGCGCAGGGTGTGGCGAAGCATGGAGGAAGGATAACGAATAACATTATCATAGCGGCGATGCCGGAAAAGGCAACAAGGAGTTATCGCTAGATTGTCGGCTTGACCTTCCTGCTATTCCGCCTGACTTCAAGGACCAAGGTGCATGGCGCGAAGCGCCACTGCAGTCTTGTATCTATATGTGTGTATATATAGACAAGATTGCATTGGCGCTTCGCGCCATGCACCTTGGTCCTTGAGGCTTTGCTTATGTTGGTCGTTCGCGCCACCCCAAGTGGCCTTGGAAATTTGGCCCCTTCCCTGCAATGGTTTTGGGAAGTCTTCGAAAGTTCGGGCGGTCCGTGGCCCTTCCCGGGCTTCCAGGGGCTTCTTAAAGGCGCCAGGTGAAGGGCGAAGGATAGGAGGGAGAGAATCTCGGGGAGCGAGAACAGTGAAGCGGATGTGGGGGAGAACGAGTGGTGGAGCGGCAGAAAGAGGAGGAAGAGGAGGAGAAGGAGGAGGATGCAGAGGAGGATGCGGAGGAGGACTCAGAGGAGGAGCAGGAGGAGGGAAAGACACGGCGCCGTCGGGGGACCGCGAAGAATTTCAGTTGCGCCGCGCCGAGTAGCGCTGTTCAGAAGCCAACGTCTATGTACGGCTTCGTGTGTACGTACAAGCTTGCAGGCATGGTGTACGCACACGCTTGCAGACATATTTGGCAGTGTATGATGACGAAAGGCCTTCGTCGGCCCACACATTGCCCGCTCGTGGCTCAGGTGCCCCAGTGGGCAATGCGAAAGAATGGCAAGGCACTCTAACGAATGCCAAGCAAACGAACGCAATGTCAAGCAATGCGCAAAGTGCAAAACAATGCCAAACCAAGGATGTCATGTTGCAGCGGGTCGCAATGGGGCACGCGAAAGTAAGTAATTCTTGGGGAATTCACCGAATCCTGGATTCGCAACAGATTTCCAAGAAATGTGGTTGCGAAACCGGGATTCGGGTCAGTTTGATGGAAAACGCTGTGGGCATTGTTGGAAACCTGGTGGGCCGGCTTGGGACCCTCTCGAGCCGTCCTGGGGCTCTATTGGGCCGTTTTGGAGAGCTTGGGCTCTCTAGGGACCTTACGGGGCCTACGTGGGTCCTCCTGGTGGCCTCCCATGGCCTTTGTGTAGGCCTCCCATGGCCTTCTTGGGCTTGTCTTGGGGGCCTTGTGAGGGCCTGCTGGGCCTCTTTTTGGGTCATGTGGGGCTTCCTTGGACAGTCTTGGGGCCATCCAAGCCGTCTAGAGGCTCTCTTGGGGGTCTCTTGGGCCGTCTTGGGGCGATACCGGAGACCTTTCCGGCTGTGTTGGGTGCTGCTAAGATCCGAACGCCAAATATGCGGAGACTGCTTGTTTCCTAAAGGAATGAAATGATTTCTGTGCTCTGGGAATACCGTTTGGGGCCTCCTGGGCCGTCTCGGGGGCCTCTTGGAGGATATCTGGGTCCTTCTTGGAGCGCTCTTGTGCTGTCTTGGGTCTCTCTTCGGCCTATATGATCACCACTCTGGGGTCTGCTGGCAAGACCCGGTCAAGCGCCATGGGAGGTCCGGCACGAGCCGGGAAACCTTAGGGGGGGCCCAGAAGAACCCAGATCCTGGGGGTCCGGTTTTGGGGGGGCGGTCCCACCCCCCGGCTTGCAAAAATATGGGAAGAGGAATCTGTAGAGAGAGAGAGAGAGAGAGAAAAAAAAAAAAGAGAGAGAGAGAGAGATAGAGAGAAACATAATCAACAAAAACGAGAAAGAGAGAGAGAGAGAGGGAGAGGGAGAGTGAAGGTCCAGGCAGGCGCAGCTTGCAAGACGCGGTGGCAGTGGTGGTGGAGTGGGAGGGGGTGCTCACTGTAGCAAAGAGATGGGGGTAAGGAGGCTGGCGTCGTGTCTGGAGGTGGCAAATGGGGCAGGCGGTCAGTGGCTCGCGGTCCACCCAGCCCCCCCTCCCGCCCATTGTCAAGTGTATGTGTGTGTGTGTTTGTGTGTGTGCTTGTGTGCGTGTGTGTGTGTGTGTGTCGTGTTGTGTGTGTGTGTGTGTGTGTCGTGTCGTGTGCTGTGTGCTGTGTGCTGTGTGCTGTGTTTGTGTGTTTGTGTGTTTGTGTGTTTGTGTGTTTGTGTGTTGTGTGTTGTGTGTTGTGTGTTGTGTGTGTGTGCGTGTCTGTCTGTGTGTGAGTGTGCGTGCGGTGCCTGTCGCGCATCTCCTTTGGCGCCCCGCTAGCCGCCTCGCTGAGTTGGACCAGCCGGTCTCGGAGCAAAACGTGTGGGCGTGTGGACTGGGGGGTAGGTCGGAGGTGGGGGCGAGCCGCATGTGCATGTCCCTCCTCCCCGCCCCACGGTCCGCCCCCATTTGACGGCGCGCACAGGGGGGGTGGGGGGTGGGGGGCAGGCTTCTTAGAAGGGGGCTGCTTCTCAGGAGGCGCGGGCCTTACATCTATAGCTGGACGGCCCGCGCCTTCTGAGAAGCAGGGGGTGCTTCTGAGAAGCCTTCCCCCCTCCCCCTACTGAAGGGGCCCTAGGACACACAAATAAGTACACACAAATAAACATATGCCCCACATTTTCTTATATTTTCTGGGTTTTTGTCTTCCCGCCCACTTCCCATATTTTCCTATATTTTCTGGGGGATCGACGATGAATTGTGTCTGTGTGTGTTTTCCCCCTCCTGACCTAACCCCTCCTGCGCGTGGCTGGCCCCATCCCCGTCCCTCAGGCGGCCCGCAGTGGTCCGCCCCCACTTGGCAGCGCGCACGAGGGGGTATAGGGGGTGAGGGGGAAGGCCTCTAGGAAGCAAAGGGTGCTTCTGAGAAGCCCTCCCCCTCCCCCATACGTACATTACCGTACATACAAAAGAGCCTCCTAGATAGGGGTCGGAGGGAGTAGATGGGGTCGGAGGATCAGGCCGCATCGCCGATACATCGCCGGTGCATCGGCGACGTCGGCGTGAAGCAAATCGGGCTCCACATCGAGCCGCATCGGCGTTGTATCGGCGATGCATCGGCGACGCGGCGCGATCCTCCGACCCCATCTGGGAGGCCTAGAAATCCCCCCCTCCTGCGCGTGGCCGACCCCCGCCCCCGCCCCCCAAAAGCGGCCCGCGGTGGTCCAGGGCTCTGCGGGGGGCGGCGGGGCCACGCCGGGGCCCGCGGCGCGGCCCAGGGGCCTCCGCCCGGGGCCGCCGGCGCTGGCGCTGGCCCAGGGGCTCCCCATCCCCTCCCCCTGCCCCGGCGCAGCCCATAAAACGACACGAAGATCGGGACAAAATCGGATCGAGATACCTCGAAATCTCTGAGAATCGGCGGGTCTGGAGGATGTCTTGGGCGCCGCGGCCGCTCTCAGAGCGTTCCGGCACGCTCTGAGAGCGCTCCGGAACGCTCTGGAGCGAGTTATCCCGATCCTAGCCCTGTTTTAGCCCACCTGGCGGCGGCGGACGCGAGCTGGGCAGCGGAGCTCTGTGGGCGCGCGGCGCGGCCGGCGCCGGCGGCGGGGGGTGCCAGCCCCTGCCCTGTCACAGCCCGCCTCGCGGCAGCGGGTGTGTGAGTCGGGCAGCGAAGCTGCGCGGTCGGTCCCCACCCCTCTCGGGTCCTCCTCCTCCTCGTCCTCCTCCTCCTCCTCCTCCTCCTCCTCCTCCTCCTCCTCACTCCTCCTCCTCCTCCTCCTCCTCCTCCTCCTCCTCCTCCTCCTCCTCCTCCTCCTCCTCTCTCCTCCTCCTCCTCCTCCCCCTCCTCCTCCTGCTCCCCTGCTCCTCCTCCTCCTCCTCCTCCCTCCTCCTCCTCCTCGCACCTCCTCCCTCCTCCTCCTCCTCCTCCTCCCCTCCTCCTCCTTCCTCCTCCTCCTCCCCCCTCCCCCTCCTCCTCCTCCTCCTCCTCCTCCTCCTCCTCCTCCTCCTCCCCTCCTCCCTCCTCCTGCCTCGCTCCTCCTCCTCCTCCTCCTCCTCCTCCTCCTCCTCCTCCTCCTCCTCCTCCTCCCGGCGCCTCTCGAGGCGCGCGTGCCTCCCTCGCAGGAGGCGAGGTCTCCACGCTCGTCGGGGAACCTGTCCCCGGCCCCGCCGCTCTGCCCACCCCTTGAATTCTCGTGCTGGACACCTCGAGGGCGCGCGTTCCGCTCCACATTCTGCCGCCGCGAGGCGCACCTGCTCGGCGAGCGGCCGGGCGGCGGCGGTGGCGGCGACTCGCGCACGCACGCGCTGCGGCCGCACTCCCCCGAGCGCGCCCGCGCGGGGGCCCGCCAAAACGGCCGTTGCCATAGAGGCTGGCGCGTATGCAGTGGCCGGCCTGTCTTGTGTCTTACAAACATCCTCCCCCTCCGCCTCTTCTCCCACTCCTTATGCCCGTCTCCTTTCAATCAGGATGGCTGGTAAAGTCAACTAAAAGACAGCAGACAGGCGACGTCAGCCGCAGTTGCAAGCTGGTGAAAAAACGCAGTGGTAGTAAACGCTGCAGTTATGTACAGCAAGTTGTGGGGCCACACCCTGGTATCCAGAGGGGGCTTGAGAGATGGCGGCCTAGGCTTTGCTGAACTGCGCTGTGGGAGGAAATGCATGCTGTGGATGGGGCGTCCAGCAGCGTATGTACTATACTGTTACTGACAAGCTGGCCAGGTCGGTACTGGCTGGCCCAATAAGAGTTGGATTTGAAATGTCCCTCTGGCCTTCTTAGGCCTCCAGCTGGCCAGCTGTGGGCCCGCTCTTCGGTTCCTCGGCGGAGGGATTCACCTTCACCGTATGATAGCCGCTCGGGATGAGGGACATACGAGTTGGGGTCAATGGCTCTCGTACGGGCATGCGGGATGTGCCGGCATGGCTAGGCACTGACAGCGCGATGGGGCCTCGCCCTGTCGAACGGGGGCCTGGCATGTAGCTATGCGTTGAACGAGCTGGTCCTGCGCTTGAGGGCCAGCCCGAGGCTAAGGAGGAGGAGGAGGAGGAGGAGGAGGAGGAGGGGGAGGAGGAGGAGGAGGAGGAGGGGGAGGAGGAGGAGGAGGAGGAGGAGAGAGGAGGAGGAGGATATCTAAGGATTTCGGATAGCAAAAGGCTGCAAGATCATGCCTGCCGTGGGGCCGTCTTCCCGGCGTCCAGGGGGCCTGCTATGGCAGCCTCCCGCCCGCCCGATCGGATCCCGCCCGCCAGCCCGCAAGCTCCCCCTCCCCAGTAGGCAGTACTGCAGTTCTGGCGATGAGAGTGACTTAAAGGTGTAAGCGGTCTGGAACCTCTGCTCACGCCGATGCGATGCGGCTGGCTGATGCGGCGCTGGCTGCCAGAGCTGCTGTGCTCGAACGTGTGCTGGCCTGCCAAACGAGAGCGCTGCAACATAGGGCGTTGCGACGGCCGCTGTGAGCAGCTGGGAACATTGGCAAAGGGAGCTCCTCGGCTAGCGCCTCTGTTTGAAACCCGTGAGAGTGGGAAGAGAGCGTGCGAAAAGCACGCTGGTCAGAAAACCTCCTCCTCCTCCTCCTCCTCCTCCTCCTCCTCCTGCTCCTCCTCCCCCTCCTCCCCCTCCTCCCCCTCCTCCTCCTCTTCCTCCTCCTCCTCCTCCTCCTCCTCCTCCTCGCGCACCGCCAGTGCCTGGGCAGTGGATCGCAGGAGGCCGGGGCCGTGCTCGGAAGACCCGTCGATGATCGAGCAGTATGGACAAGAGTGTGGATTGCGTAGGAGGAGGAGGAGGAGGAGGAGGAGGAGGAGGAGAAGGAGGAGGAGGAGGAGGAGGAGGAGGAGTAAATTCCAAAATAGAGATGGCCGTGCGCGACAGCGCGTGCGGCCCCCCGGCAAGCAGCAACAGCAGGCGAAAACAAGAGGGACAACAAGGAAGCAGGGGAAGCAACAAGCCGAAAGAAGCGACCGCCAAACTCCCATGCATCCGCAAGCGGACGCACGGGGGCTCGCCGTTCATCCGCCAACAGCGAGGCACCACCCCTGGGGGGGTTGGAGAGGCCGACGGCCAACAGAAGAAACGGGAATAACGAGAGAAGCGAAGAGACGAAACGGCAGAGACGACGGACGCAAGAACGAAGCAGGATGAGCCTTCTGAATGCTGCGGGTAGAACAAGTGCACTGCTGGCTACCCCCACCATCGCGTAATGAAATCTCCCCCTCCGTCATAAGTGGCTCACACACATATCGTAAAACGAGGGACCAAGACGAACAAGGTGAGAGTGGCAATCAGACGTCCTCGCCGTTCGAATCTGTGAGGTCGTAGACACTCCCAATCCACTTTGTATCGCTATAGTTGACACCCGCAGTACTGATGTCCCAGTCGTAGTGGTAGATGTGTGATTGTAGGCTGCTGTTCCACTCCACCTGTCGGCGAGACTACCCCGCGTGGGGATCTCGTGCCACCCCCAGAAATCACTGCCGTCAGCCTGTACGGTGGGAAACCTTGGTTTTGGTATTGGTAGCGCATTGTGTTCAGGTACTGGGAACTTGGACTTCAGCATGGTTGGTGCTTCCACTGCGATGGTTGTATACTGTCGATGCCGAAATTCTGCATTGCGTAGGTTGCGCTGCCGTATTTCCGCCACATGTTGTTGATACTGCTGCTGGTGGTGCCGTAAAGTCAAAAGGTACTGCCAGAATTGCTGATCGCTGCCGTCTTCGACGTAGTGCGTTTCGAAGTGTCATGTATTAGCTGGCATCGAGGTAGATCCTGTTCGTCCATCTTGCAAGTGGATCGGTGCCGCCTTTGGTCGGATGTAGATGTGCCGAGTAGCAAATGCTTATGGTGCTGACTCTGATGTCGGCATCTCGGCGAGCCATCGTTGTGCCCGTGCTGCCTTGGGAGGTGGACGTATTACTGGGATCCTGAGACTTGGTGGAGGTGGTTGGATTGGGCTTCTGGTCACTCGGGTGGTGCGCAGGTCTGCTGAGTGGCAGGTGCGTTTGCACATGTCGGTTGCTGGTCAGGCGTTGTAGTGGCTGCTTGTTGCGTAGCTGCAGCTGATAGTTGTGCTGGCTGCGGTGTGTTTTCAATAGGGTTGTCGCCACTGGAAGAACTTGACGACGTTGTGAAGTTGCGGTCGTTACGTGGTGGACCGATTGGGTTGCGTTTTGCCGCAACAACCGCCCAGCGTCGTGTATGCGCACTGCCCAATCGCAATTCATTGTTTCGTCGTCATGGCAAGGGCATAGCCATTGTGAGGCCGTGCGTATAGCTTGCTTGGCATGTCGTTCATTCTTGTCGTGGGTCCTTGGATCAAGGGTGCGAGATGCCTGTTGGTGATGTGGACTGCTACTCTGAAGTCCTCTTTTAGTGAGTAGCACTCTGCGAAGTCCTGTATGCCATGTAGTAGCCGTAGCCGTGGCTGGACATGCATTCGTGATCGCAATGGAGGGAGGTGTGAATATGCCTGCATTGCGCCGTTAAGTATTAAGCACTTGGTCGACTCGGTACATGAGAGCTTGGATGTTGAGAACCGAGTCGAATGTGGGTCGGGCCTGCGCGGTGGATGAGGTACGACTTGATTTTGTCTGTCGCTGATGAAGTACTCGCTGTTGGGCTTGTCTAAGTATCTGCGCCAACCTGGTAGCAACAAGTGGTCGTGTGGATAACGGTAGGTGCATGTGTTGCTGGCTGCATTGTAGTAGACAGCATAGCGCCTGTTGTCCTCGTCGCTGTCGTCGTCTTCGACCCTGCCCTTGGCGCTATATGCTGTCCAGCCTGGCGGGCAGTGCATGTCGCGTCCCGTGTGTGGTGGTAGGGACGCAAGAATGGAGGGCGTAGGAGTGTACTTCTAGTCGTAGCCGCTGTTGTCAGTGTAACTGCCTTCGTCTTCTGAACCATCTGTGTCAGTGGGTAGTACAACATCGATTCCTTCGTCTCCCCAAGGGTTGGATCTGGTGGGCTGCTGTCGTGTGTGTGTGTGTGTTCGAGCTGATGCAGGTGTTGGCAGCCTAGGTTTGGGTGGTGGCGTAGGTGCATGGGTTCGTGGTGCTGGTGTCCGATCTTGCTGGTGTTCTCGTTTGGCTCTGCATTCAAGCTGAAACATGACTTGGTAGGGTACCCGTGGTAGTGTGTGACCTGAACAGTACTTGCGGAGCCTGTCCTCGTAATCGCATTATATTTTCTCCGATCGCTCTCTTTGCTCCAGCTGTTGCTGTATTCAGTCGCAGCGTAGGTTGGGTCTGTCGATGTCGGTCATTACTCCCGTTGTCTTTTTTGGGGGCCTATCGAGAAAGGTCGTGATTCGTGGGTGTGGTATGGCCTGGACCGATCCGTTAATCTTGAATACGGGTTGCATGTGATGGCTTGTCCTCTTCCTCCTCCTCCTCCTCCTCCTCCTTCTACTCCGCTTGCCTCACTCATCCTTCCACTCCTCCTTCCCGAATGATCTTCCCCTCTTTCCCTGATAGCGTTCGGCTAGAAGGTTCTGGCCACGGCCAAGGAAATCCATCCACAGAAGAGCCTCAAGAAATGGGACAGGGGCCCTAGTCCGCTGGTCCAGCAGCTGTGTCGCTGGAGACGTCCTCCGACTTCATTCAGGTACCATTTTTTGTTTCGAATCGATCGCACAGCCACACTTGAAATCCGCTGCGTTTTTGGGTTTCGAATCGATCGCACAGCCACACTTGAAGTCCGCTGCCCCTCAGGGGGGCTATCCTCCCAGACGCCGCGCGCGACAAAGCAGCCGACAGCAGTGCAAAAAAGAAGGCGACAACCTATTGCCCGAGTCTGGGGCAACTTTATCCAGGTACCATGTTATCGCCTCAATGTTGGCTACATCTTTGGTCTGGACGGCCACGATCCCGTGTACACAGAATTGACCAAGGCGCACGTGGCCGTGCCTCGACCTCCTACTCCTCGACCCGCCTCTTCACCTTTGCCGCTATTCGGGTGCTTTGCAGGGCCAGTTTCCTTCCTCCTCCTCTTCCTCCTCCTCCTCCTCCTTCTCCTCCTCCTCTTCCTCCTTTGCATCCTTCACCTCCCCCTGGCACCCGACAGCTGATGGCTGCAAGGTTCGTCCGAACGTAGCCCCCTCCTCCTCCTCCTCCTCCTCCTCCTCCTCCTCCTCCTCTTCCTCCTCCTCCTCCTCCTTCTTCCCTCCCCCTCCTCGTCGGCCCCCCCCCCGCCGCCGCAGCCGGTGCCCACCCGGGGCAGCTGGGAGCAGGGCCCAAAGCCGGCGCAGGACGAATTGAGACGGCGGCAGCTCAAGATCGGCTCCCGGACCCCCCCCCCCCAGGGTCCCAACGCACAAGTGGTCCGCACTGCGCCCCACCGCCGCGACGAGGGGGGCCCCCCGATCAGGTCAACCGCCGTTGCTTCGATCCGACACAGAGGAGCCGCCCAGGACGCGAGCGCCGATTGTCGACCGGCCGTCGGCCGGCCGACGGACCGACCGCACGGAACGCCCTCGCCGGCTCGGGCTGGGGCCCGCCTCAGCCAGCGGCAGCCGGCTGCCGGGGTCGCCCACCAGCAGCCGCCCGATGAGGTCTCGGGCGGCCGCTGGCACGGCCTGGGTGGCGGCCGCCGTCGCCGTCGCCGCCGCCGCTGCCGCCCGCGCCGCCGCAGGCGCCTCCGCCGCCGTCGCTGCCGCCGCCGCTGCAGCCGCCGCCGCCGTGTTCGTCGGACCTGCGCCATCACCCCGCCGTCGGTCGTCTTCGTCGTGCTCGTCATGCTCGTCGTCGTCGTCGTCGTTGTCGTCGTTGTCGTCGACACCGGCCGTCGGCCGTCGGCGGTCGTCGTCGTCGTCGTCGTCGTCGTCGTCGTCGTCGTCGTCGTCGTCGTCGTCGTCGCCGCCGCCGCCGCCGCCGCCGCCGCCGCCGTCCTCGTCGTCGGTCGCGATCGTCCCCGCTCGTCTTGTTGTCGTCGTTCGTCGTTGGTGTCCAGGGGGTCCAAAACTCTATGGCTCCATTTGTGCATTTCCATGGCGGTGCGCTAAGAGCTGGCATTGCGAGATTTCACTGCTGATGGGTGGGACTGGGCGTGCGTCCAGCTGGTCGAATGGGTATCAGCACGATATTCCCCGCTGTCCTTGGCAACGAATTCATCATCGGGCAACGCAGTTCCAATGCCTTTATGCTCCCGAAGGGGAGTAAGTCACACGAAGCTGTCAACAAACAGAAGGATCACAGTGGCAGGTTGCCCATGGGTAGCGCTCGGATCCACAAAACAAGCCACGATTGATTGTGTACTTTCAGAGTTCCCTTGGAGCGAGAACTTTCTGCTGTTTTTTTACACGCTGCACGCGTTCGGGTCCACCCAATTTTCCCTGCCCTTGGGTATTGCCTCTCTGAATGACATTCGGGCGTGCGCAAACAACGGGTCAAGGGCCGGATCCACCCCTGCGATTTCGTCATTGCCATTTGTTATTCCGGGTTGCTCGTGTAGGATGTGTTGGTTAATGTGTTTCGTGCCTCCGACAAAGAGAAAAGCAGGACCCCCGCGTATTCCATGCCGTCCCAGGCCTTCTTGAGCATGCTACAATCCTCTAGAGCCGACCTGATCATGCTAGAAGCTCTCTGTCCTGAACCCTCTAAACTCTCGGAACTATTGAGGTGTCCTCCAAGGGCCTCAAGAGTACCCGAGCCTGCCAGATCGCTCCAGCGCTCTCTAGAGCCCCCGTACAGAATTCTCGCACGTCCTGGGACCCGCTAAGAGGCCCTTCGCAAAGAAGCCCTTCTCAGAGGGACCACCTCAGAGAGGCTCCTCGCAGTGGAGCTGCTCCACGAGTGTCTCCGCCCTCCAGAGCACTCGGGAGAGCCTGCTGGATCTCTCAAGTACCTGCCAAGAGGTTCCTAGATCCATCTGAAACGAACTTGAACCGTTCGAAGCCTTCTAGAGCAAGCCTGGAGTCCTCGAGAGCACTCCTCCTACTTCTCCTCCTCCTCCTTCTCCTCCTTCTTCTCCTCCTCCGATCCTCTTCCTCGTCCTCCTTCGCCTCCTCCTCCTCCTGCTCGTCGTCCTCCTCCTCCCTCCACCTCCCCCATGTCCTCCCCGTCCACCTCCTTCTCCTCCTCCTCCCTCTCCTCCTCATTTTCATTCCCCCTGTCCTCCCCTTTCACCTCTCCCCCCCATCCTCCTCCTTCTCCTCCTCCTCCTCGTTCTCCCCCTCCTGCTGTACCTCCAGCCATCCCGGCGAGGAGCACACTTCATCCGTCAAGGGGGCCCGGCTGCGGCCGCCT